GATCCATAAGGCCTGTTTTATAAATGCCAACATTCACTTGTACATATTTATACATTTTACTTGTTTTTTTGGTTTAAGTATTAAGTTGTTCATGTGGCTGTGATTTCGTTTAGAATGGTGCAAATTGTGGCTTAGTGTTTTCTCTTATTCTTTTAATAGCTTGATCAGATTAGATTCACTTTTCTCTTTATGCGGTCTAATTGGCTCAGGTTCTTAGTGTCTGCACCCCACAGGCCAGTGCGCACCTAGATATTGTGCAGCACTGCCTTACACTTTGTTTTTGCTTCTTTTACTTAAGTTATAAAGGACTACAGGAAATGTAAAGCATGATAAAGAATATATGCATGTGCTTTGTGAGAATAATCTACTACAACAGTATTTTTAATACATTTTTATTACATCTGCTCTGGCAATAATTATTGTTTTCTAAATGTATTTGATTTCTATTTTTTTTTAATACAGAAATAACTTTTCAACTATCCATTGTGGGTTGTTAATATGGTTTCCCTACCAATTTTTACTACAAATACCCTAAATCATATGGTATGCAAAATATTCAAATGCAACAGAAATCAAATCCCACCCCTTGACCACTTCTCAACAATAATAATAATTAAAAAAAACACTTAACAGGCAGATACAATTATTTTAAAGTATCATACAAATTTTGTGTGTGAATTTTATATAAATGTAAATGCAGCTTTTTAATAACATTTTCTTTAATGCAATCTCTGGCCTTTTTTTTTTTTTTTTTTTACTTGAATCCCACACTAAAATATCAAAATTAAATTTTGTTCTGGAAATTGTCTAGTGTATTTAATTCCTTGTCTGTATGAGCTATACATTCTAGAGCCACATAAAACAGTTTATGTCAGTTGCCCAGAAATGGACTAAATGCCTTTAATCCAGGCCTTGCATAGACCTCACACTTTTTCTTTTTTGTGGTTCAAGTAGTTCTGTAAACCTCTTATTTCGCCTTCTCTTTAATGCTACAGTGGTCTTTCTCCGGTCTTTCATTTAGCTTGTATATACAGCTGCTAATATTTGTATTGGACTCTGAAATGTATGACAGTTTTCTTCTAAACTTTCTAGTTTCAGAGTCATATTATCAATACTGGCAACTTTTTTTTATTGTTAATCGCAAATAAGCATAAGAATTTAAGCTAATCATTTGTTTCATGTTTGTCTACCATTTCACCTTTGGCCCAGACAGAATCACAGCTCTTAAATTGAATTTCACCTTTAGAGACTGAACCATATGTCACACTTTTGTTTGGAGGGGTCTGAGGTCCTCTGGTTAATCTGTTCTTGAAACAGGTACAGATACCTGTATTAATCCATCAGAGGAGCATTAGATGTCTGAAAGTCTGTGTGGAGCTACTGGGGGATAGAGTCAGTGAATCAGACACACTAAACATGATGTACTGTCTCCATTTTGGCATTTCATCCAGTTATTAATCCACCTCTGCCTTTACCGTCAAAGCACGTCCTGTCTTTCAGCACATCATTGTAATGCCTCCTACATCTGTTTAGAGCAGAGCTCTTGCAGGGTCAAAATTGGAAGCATTTACTTTGCTTAAACATAATTTGTTGCGACCTGGAGCAAGTGTTCCGAAGAATTACCTCCTCTGAACTATGATTTCCAAAAGAATAAACCAATATTAAATGCTGGCTGATACAGATAAGCCAACAATTATTTTTATGTTCTGGCTGATAAATGGCAGATTCAAATATGTAAAAAAAAATATATATATATACACTCACCGGCCACTTTATTAGGTACCCCATGCTAGTAACGGGTTGGACCCCCTTTTGCCTTCAGAACTGCCTCAATTCTTCGTGGCATAGATTCAACAAGGTGCTGGAAGCATTCCTCAGGGAGTTTGGTCCATATTGACATGATGGCATCACACAGTTGCCGCAGATTTGTCGGCTGCACATCCATGATGCGAATCTCCCGTTCCACCACATCCCAAAGATGCTCTATTGGGTTGAGATCTGGTGACTGTGGAGGCCATTTTAGTACAGTGAACTCATTGTCATGTTCAAGAAACCAATTTGAAATGATTAGAGCTTTGTGACATGGTGGAAGTAGCCATCAGAGGATGGGTACATGGTGGCCATAAAGGGATGGACATGGTCAGAAACAATGCTCAGGTAGGCCGTGGCATTTAAACGATGCCCAATTGGCACTAAGGGGCCTAAAGTGTGCCAGGAAAACATCCCCCACACCATTACACCACCACCACCAGCCTGCACAGTGGTAACAAGGCATGAAGGTTCCATGTTCTCATTCTGTTTACGCCAAATTCTGACTCTAACATCTGAATGTCTCAACAGAAATCGAGACTCATCAGACCAGGCAACATTTTTCCAGTCTTCAACTGTTCAATTTTGGTGAGCTCTTGCAAATTGTAGCCTCTTTTTCCTATTTGTAGTGGAGATGAGTGGTACCCGGTGGAGTCTTCTGCTGTTGTAGCCCATCCGCCTCAAGGTTGTGCGTGTTGTGGCTTCACAAATGCTTTGCTGCATACCTCGGTTGTAACGAGTGGTTATTTCAGTCACTGTTGCCCTTCTATCAGCTCGAACCAGTCTGGCCATTCTCCTCTGACCTCTGACCTCTGGCATCAACAAGGCATTTCCGCCCACAGAACTGCCGCTCACTGGATGTTTTTTCTTTTTCGGACCATTCTCTGTAAACCCTAGAGATGGTTGTGCGTGAAAATCCCAGTAGATTAGCAGTTTCTGAAATACTCAGACCAGCCCTTCTGGCACCAACAATCATGCCACGTTCAAAGTCACTCAAATCACCTTTCTTCCCCATACTGATGCTCGGTTTGAACTGCAGGAGATTGTCTTGACCATGTCTACATGCCTAAATGCACTGAGTTGCCGCCATGTGATTGGCTGCTTAGAAATTAAGTGTTAACGAGCAGTTGGACAGGTGTACCTAATAAAGTGGCCGGTGAGTATATATATATATATATTACATTTATTAATATGAATCACATAAACTGAAATGGTCCATTCCCTTGTTCCATTAAGATTTATACTAATTGTTTTATTAAGCTCTATTTTTTTTACTCATTTAAAATTCTTAATTCATAACATGAATAATATGTAAGGAGGATTATTCAGTTCAGTTTGATGGGGTGTACTATACAATTGAAATTCGTAATCTTAAAAAGGGCTTAATTTTGACCATCCATCCATCCATCCATCCATCCATCCATCCATCCATCCATCCATCCTATTTTGACTTATGAAAGGTCTTAAATTTTCAATGGCAATTTGAGTTAGACATATCTAAATGTTTTCCAAATTAAAACTATCTAATTAGCGTACTTTTTTATTTACTATTCGTTCTTTGTGGATTTGCTCGTTCACGTGACATTTCGCGTCACATTGGTGCCAGCATTACGTCTGTCTCCTGCACGCGAAACAGCAGGAGAGGAGAAGAAAGCTGGTTAATTTCAGTTCAATTGTAAGTTCATTCTTTATGTGTGTAGTGGTGTGCGATGTGTATTGTCTATTATGATATTGTAATCATTGTTTTACTTTAACGTTAACTATGTACGAGGGCGCACTGCGAGCTGACATCGCATTTGTCTCTCATGCTTGCTTTCACTGCGTGATGTGTCAGTGCAGTTATAGGTATGTTCCCTAATAGACGTATAAAGTTTTTGTATTTTATATATCATATGTTGTTATCATTCAATATTACATCAGCAAGAGGGCTGTTTTCCCGTGCACAATAGCAAATATGATATTTATTTTATATAACAGTTAAATTAACATTGTTACATTTTATAAACAATATTGTCAATATTGTTTGTTTTCCCTTTATTTCGCTGACGAGAATTTCAAAATGAAACCGTAGCACAGTCTCAATGCAAAAGACAGCGATGATTTCTTGACTGAAATCCGCGTTTTGAACGAATCATTTTAACGATTCAATGAACAATCACTTGCAGTTCCTGAATGAATCAGCCGTTTGAACAAATCGTTTGAATGAATGACTCCCTGAGACAGTGACTTGCCGCCACCTACTGGCGGGTTTAGTTTCACATTTAAAGTACCCTGTAATTAAAATGTTACAATTAGAAATCAGTTCATATTTAAATATTGAATTAAGAATTGAAAGAATTGAATATATCATAGCTTTATTTATGCAATTGTAAATGGAGTATAAATATATTAATGCCAGTTCTGATGCTGCTTCTGTGTCTCCTCTGCACTGCAAAGATGGATTTTGATTTAATGATTTAATATAACTGGTAACAGTGGTATTGTGTTATTATTCTAATATAATTTAATTTGAATGTTAGAATTTGACATAAAAGGTGATGCATACCTCTAAGTAAAAAAAAAAAAAAAAAAAGTTTTTTTAAACCTGGAACTCAATTTAAGGTTGCAAATATTGCCCTTTAATAAAAAAATGTTAATTCCTTTCACTGCTGTGAACTGACCACTGCATAGAATATGAAAAATATGAATATCTTCGTGAGTCAGCTGTCAACAACAGGCCTAAACCAGCCATGGTACCAGTACACAAACACAATCAGTAAAATATCATCTAATTATCATCAACAAAACTTTGAAAATATTGTGACATTTTTTTTTCAATATTGCGCACCCCTAATGTAAGGTATTAATTTTGATTTCTTCAGGTCTTAAAAAGGTCTTAAAAAGCCTTAAATTTGACTTTAAAAAGTGTGCAGATACCCTGATCTATCTATCTATCTATCTATCTATCTATCTATCTATCTATCTATCTATCTATCTATCTATCTATCTATCTATCTATCTATCTATCTATCTATCTATCTATCTATCTATCTATCTATCTATCTATCTATCTATCTATCTATCTTTAGATGTTTTAAATGTAAAAATAGGAGCAATGACCATGCACAATTAAACTGCACACTAATTGACATTTGAAATAAAAACGTCTCACTAACCATACTTTTTTACATTTTTTTTTTTTGTTTTTTCAGGGGGAGAAGTATTATTATTATGAAATGGGAAAAAATTCTGACCCTAGTAAAGAAGATAATGTGCAGTTTAATAATGCACTGACCGTCCACCCAGTGTCTGATCCTGAGCAGATGTACAGACTTCACAAACACTTCACTGAGATCGAGCTGCAGAAGACATACGAGGAGATCGAAAAACTGCAGGTACACTTATATGCTAAACCTGTGCTGACTAGTACCAATGCCAAACTAAGTGCACAAAAGGTCAAAAGAAACCACTGTTTGTTCTATGATTCATAATGTGCTCTTTTGTAAGGGTGTTATACAATTGCTAAAAAATCCTTTCTTCATTTTCAAAGTGCTCTGGTAAAGTGCAGCATTACAGATTTTCAAATGGAGGTAGTAACCTGCTCATCAAATACCTTAAAATGCTTAATGGTCTCCCACACCTCTTTGTTTAACAGGCGGAAATAAGAAATGTGAGTGTGGTGGCTTTTGAGGGCAACCGTAGTGCCTTGTGGCCAGTAGGAATCAATCCACCCTTTGAGCCCAAAACACGTTTCGAGGTTCTGCGGTGGGATTACTTCACCGAAGATCAGGTGTACTCCTGCACTGATGGTTCTCCGAAGTGCGAGCTCCGTGGAATCGATAAACTGGACGTAGCCGACGTCATTGAGACGGCTATGGGTGAGCTGAACAAGAAGTACAAGCCGGTTCTGCACCTGAAGAAGCAGCAGCTTATTAATGGATACAGGCGCTTTGACCCCACCAGAGGGATGGAGTACACCCTGGACCTACAGCTGGAGGTGGTTAACCAGAAAGGACACAGTCGCTCTATCACCAAGAGGGTCCACCTGGTTAGGCCTCTCAGTCGTATTGAGATCATCCCCATGCCTTATGTTACAGAAGCAACTAGAGTCCACATCATCTTACCCGTCACTCTTCAAGACCGAGAGGATGTTCAACAGTTTTTGGAAGTGTACGCCGCAAACGCCTTCGAAACCAGTGAGAATGCCATCTTGACGTTTCTCTTTATTTACGATCCAATTGAGGCCCAACAAGTCAACCAGAATGACATCTTCGCCAGTGTCAAAGCCCAAATCAATGCTTGCGAGCACCGTTATCCTACGGTCAAAATCCCCTGGATCAGTGTTAAAAGCGAAAGTCCCTCTCAAATCAAATTTATGGACATCATCTCCAAGAAGCACCCGGTTGACACGTTGTTCTTCATCGCCACCGTGAAAACCAGCATCAACTCCGAGTTCCTCAATCGCTGTCGGATGAACTCCATCAACAACTGGCAGGTGTTCTTTCCCATCCATTTCCAATACTACAATCCTGACATTGCTTATCATTACCAGCCTCTTCCCAATACATTGGATTTGGTCAAAGAGGCTGGCCACTTCGATCGCAGTTCCTTCACCGAAGCATGTTTTTACAACTCTGACTACATGACGACCCGGACGCGCATGTCTTCGGATGTCCAGGAGAACGAGGAGATCCTGGAGAACCTGGATATATATGAAATGTTCGTCAAATACTCTGGCCTCCATGTTTTCCGAGCAGTGGAGCCGGCCCTGCATCAGAAATACAGCTACCAGCCATGTAATCCTCGTCTAAGTGAAGATATTTACCAGAGGTGTGTGCAGAGCACCCTCGACAGCCTTGGATCACGCTCTCAGCTCGCCTTGCTGCTGTTTGAACAGGAACAAGGCAACAGTACTTAAAATCTAACCTTGAAGATTGAGAAATGACTAAGGGGCGATAAACAGTTTTCGTCCATTGGGCTGATGCTTTACTAGTAGGTGGTCTGTGGAGTCACGATGCTGAATACATCAAAAATGCTGTCGGTACCAGAAAAAGGACTAAAAACTATTTAAACCAACTAAAAAATAGCAGATTTTTGTGACAACAGGGGGTTTATTATTTGCTATCTATTTATGTTGGCTCTTAAACCAAGCAGCTGTTGAAATGATCACTACCGAACACATCTAAATCGTTGTGCCTTAAAAAATATGCTGTCCATTCACTATACTTTTGACTTGTCACTTTTGCTCAAGGAGATTTGTTTAAAGGAGTTTTAATTGTTTATTTAACATAACAGGGTTTTTGTAGTATGAAGGAACCGTATCCAGATTCTGTGTTCTAGCAGTGGGTTTTTGTTGTTGAAACGTTTTTAAACGTCAGTTCACACTCGGTACTGAATTTATTAACCCTATAGCGCCAACCTGTTAAATCTTAGTCTGATTTTAAGGTAAAATCGTTGTCTTACTGACCATTAGTGCCAAAGAAACAAATGTCAAGACAATACACAATTTTGACCGAAGCTTTTCAACCAGCATTGTTCCATGTATATTTTATGCTTGAATACTGAACAGAAGAGCACAGATATTATTACAAATACCTGCATTTAAATGCATACTTATTTGTTCTATTGATACCACCTAGATACATTTTTCTGATTAAACAAGTAAACTTTTTAAAGTTTTGCACTATCATTTTCATTGCAAATCTGCCTTGCATAACAGTAATGTTGCACAATATCCCTGTCAAAGCATTTCATTTTGTTCAAGAAAGATTATAGGGTGCATTACACAGTTGTAGTTAGTTCCTGTGCTGTCTACCAGAGAGGAGTGCAATACTAGTGCAATACTATTCAGATGGTTTGCTTAGAGCCTGCTGATGGAAACACTCCAGATGAAATGTACATCTGATGATGCATTTTTGAAGATGCTCTACAGAGAGGCTATTACAGATCATTTTACAACACAATGTGTTTCAGTAGGAACATATTGGGTTATATAAGTTTTTTTTTTTTTTTTTTTTTTTTGGCTACATGGTACATGTGTTTGTTGTATTTACTTAGTGCTATGTTGAAGGTTTTTTTTATTTAAGCAATCATAAACTTAATGCAGTACACTGACTTATGTTACACAATATCATGATGCTGGATGTCAAATGTTTGTGCATACAAGAGCTGTGAAAGGTTTTACAAAGTGATGTTTTGTACGTTTTTAAACGACACATGCACAACATGAATGGACTCCTCACAGAATGAGCGTGGCCGCTACTGTCCTTTAGGGGTCAGCAAAGGAGCGTGGGATTACAGCTCCTCTCAGAAATGTATACTTTCACAAGACTGTTTCTTAACCTCACCTTTGTTGATTTTTTTTTTTTGTCACTATAAATATTCTCTGTAAATCTATTGGATTTTGTTTTAATATTATTGTACAAATTTTTAAATAAAGACTTTATTTTAGGGCTCAGAAAAACCTAAGCGCTTGTCTTTTTTTCTCCCTTACTTTTATCAGGTCATTTCTTAATACTGTTTATATTGCATTTGGTATTCATTTTCAGGTCAGACTCTCTTACCAGAGCAACCGATAAGACGGTTAATGCATATATTTCTCTGTGACCATTACTGCAGCAAAAATGAAAGGTTACAAATCAAGACCCAATGGGTTCCAGATTAAACATCAGTCTTAAGGAGATCCTGTATATTTTCACCTCTATTTATATGTCCTCTTTAGAGGCTTTAACCACACACACTGCCTTTGGGCACACAGTGAACCCATAAGCAAAAGACAGCTGAAGTCAGCAGATCTAATTATATAGGACTCATTTTACATAAGGGGAGTTTCACTCCATTTGAACTTTTTCCCAGCAGTTCACTTGTATAGCTTAAATTTACATCCAACAATCATGCATTTTTGCCATTCCGAACATTGCTACTTTTGTTTGTATATTTTGTGCAGTTGTATATATGTATACAACTGCACAAAATTAGACTGAAACCACATCAGCAGTAAAATATTTGATATTTAACACACACAAAAAATGTTTTTATCTCCCTGCAGGTGGCAGACTGTTAGAGATTCAGCAAAACACTCTCATTTACTAACTATATATTTATATGTATATAAATCTGGCATGTTTAACAGGGGATAGACCTAAAAAAGAAAATCATTTACTCACCCTTGAGTCATCCCAAAGCTTAGAGTAAGTTAGTTTTTTTTTTTTTCTTCAGTGGAACATAAAAGATATTTTGAGAAATTCGTTTTTTTTTATATATACAATGGAAGTCAATGATCACCAAAACCATTTGGTTACATACCAATGTTCATATATATATATATATATATATATATATACATTCTGTTATCATTTTCTCATTTCATTCCAAATATATATCCCACATAAGTCAGAGGTTTGGAATGAAATGAGCAAATGATAATAGAATTTTAATTTTTGGTTGAACTATCCCTTTAACATTTTGAACTTTCTAGTTGATATCTTGATGAGATTGCAACCATTGTGGGAACTTTCGATTAATATGTCATAAAATGTTATATTATGCTGCTCTTTTAGATTTAACATTTGTTTCTTTATAAAAAATTTTTTGGGTCGTACACCATCTTTATCGTGCTGTTGTTGATTACCACTTAAAATTGTCCAGTTTGTAAAAACAATTAATATTCTTACAATGGAAAAAATTAATGTGGTTTTCTCTTAAAAAAATCATGCAAAATCGCCACCTTATGCTGCGTTCCAGGCAGGTTTTTGAGCACGTAAATCACGACTTCAAACCACGACTCACGACTTTGTAGCGTTCCAGGCCAGTCACGCCAAACTACCTGAGCGCAATATACATACTTATTTTTTCAGACACATAACATTGTATTACATAATCGTGTGTGTATATACATACTTATTGTTTCAGACACATAACATTGTAATACATTATCGTGTGTTTATTATGATCATTATCATTATATTATTATTAATTTGACTGCAACGTTATATTGTCCTAAAGTGTATTCTCACTGTGTACCGCCTGCAGAAACACTGCATCCGTAGGGGCTGCCATTGTTGTTTTGTATGGTTTTGCGGGCTATGTGACGTCAGAACTCGTAACTGGGAGTACATCGATCTAGTACGAGTTCACGGGTGGGAAGTCACGGGTTTGACTGCCGTTCCAGTCCACTTTCACAGGTATAAGGTTGGAAAAACACGGGTTACAGGTTGCCTGGAACGCGGCATTAGTTCGCCAAAATAATTCTCACGAGATCAGGTTGTAAATATCAGTATTTTGAGATGTAAAGTTGTCTAAAGCATCCTTTTAGCCTTCTGGTTATGCATCACAAAAGTGATTTTAACAACATTTTGTCTTGTTTTCTGCTGCTTGCTATCATACTGTCAATAGGGTTTAACTTGTAATGAACCCAGAACATTCAGTCAATATGTCCCCCATCCTCGGTGGAATCATAAGCCATCAATTAGCACATGGTGAGACGTGATTAACTATATCTCAGTGAACAAGAGCAAAGCAATTCATTTATCAAGATTTTATTATTGGACTGCAGTACGTACCATCGTTACATTTATAAAATGTGTTCTAACAGAAACCATGGTCATAACAGCAGACCTTTGTACAAACTGTATTATGTGTTCTCTAGTCTGGTATACAGTCCATTAGGTTCTGGAGTGTAATGGGTAATTAGCCTGATTAGTCTTGATGCCTTTAATCGTGTGGAAATCTCAACAGTCTGTTTGCGCTATATGCTGCTTCAGTGCCTCGTTTTATGGCCCCCTCTCGAAGCTAAATAGTGCTCTGGCTGGCAAAAGCGGGTGGAAAAGGAACAGCATGTCGAAGTTAAAGCAGCGTAGCACAGTTTCAAAAATACACACAGAGCTCAACGCTGCCCCAATCAGTCTAGGATGGAACTGACACGTGAAGATGAATTAATATCAAATAAAGCAGGGGTGTCCAAACTCGGTACTGGAGGGCCACTATCCTGGAGAGTTTAGCTCCAACTTGCCTCAACACACATGCCTGGAAGTTTTTTAGTGAGCCTAGTAAGACCTTGATTAGCTGGTTCAGGTGTGTTCAATTGGGATTGGAGCTAAACTTGGCAGGACAGTCAGTGGCCCTCCAGCTAGGAGCAGAATTGGACACCCCTGAGATAAAGGAAGATTATAGTTTTCTGGACAGGTTTGACATATTTCTCCAAACTAAGCTCTATATATTTAACTAATCATGTAGAACTAACACAGCAGGTTTATGCTAAATTCAATACTGAAGAATCAGATTACTACCTTTCAATTCATGAGTGTGAATTTGAACTCAATTGGATACATTTCACGAGAAGTTGAATTTACTGAATTGGTCCCACTTTATATTGTGTCTTTAACTACTTTTTAATAACATTTAAATGAATCATTGATACAATGCACTTATCGTGTAGGCCTACATACATGTTTTTACATTGTACTTATATTTAAAAACTTATTTTTCTGTAATTACATCTATATTACACTGACTCTTCCCTTACACCTTTTCCTACCATTACCAATAAAACCTGTCCCTAACCTTACCCGTATCCCACCTCAATAACAGCAAAAGTGTTTTGCAACACTACATGAACACAAGTATATTGTCTCTAAGTACATAATAGTTTAAACACCTAATATAAAGTGTGACCCTGAATAGTTATTCAAATAAATTCAACACAGATAATGCATTCTAGGATCTCTACATCATATAATGCTTTTTCAAGTTATGGATCCAAGAAAAGAAAGTGGTTAAATACAACACTTTTCATCCCCATGCAGACAAACTACTCCACAACTGAATTTAGAAAAGGAAAATTTGCTGGAAGAAACACTATAACAAAATGTGGGTGATTTTCAATCCATGCACGCACCAGCGCTACGTGGTGGAATTGGACATTGTCCCAAACCACAAGTTGCTCCGGTTGTTCCTGCTGTGCCTCCAATATTGCTTTTCCCTTTCCTCTTCCTACATCATGTTCAATTTCACGCCTATCATCTCTTTCACCTGTAGTGTTTCAAGAAAATGATGTAATTTGTATGAAATCATGAATCAGTACAATACATTTAGGAAAAGATAGCTGTGTTAATTGCTTAACGACCGTGTAACAACCTTGACCTCAGTTTGGAGAAATGTCTAATTGGTGTGCAACCATCTTCCTTCTGATGCAGATCTGCCGGCTGGATTGCACAACAACACCTTCTATTGCTCCATAGAAAACAGTTTCCACCCTAATAACAAGGGTTATAAAAGATAGTCCCTTTTTAAAAAAGACCTGTGAATTGTGCAGGCAATTGCATTTCAACATTTGGGGCAATTCCTTCTGCACAGGTAAGATAGGC